CATTTTAAGCTTTAATCCCAGGTTCAGTTGTGCAAGTGTTTAGTTATAATAGAATGGCAATATTTTAAATGCCTAGAGATTTGCTTAAATGGTTAATAGTTGTCTGTTTTCAAAGCTCGGAATTCCCTTCGAGCTAGAAGATTTGGGAAAAAAATAACTTTAAGTATAAATCTACTAGCATTCTATCACGAATGCTGTTCTCTGATTGGCTACACTACTCACTATCTATTCGGTGATAGATAGTGAGTAGTGTACTAGTCGTCTGCGCTTTATAACAAAATTACGGCCAATTATTAGCATTTTCGAACTGTCTTTGAAGAGGATTTCGATTAAGTTTTGAACGACTAGTAGATTCATACTAAAACGATTAGATTGTTCGCTCTCGATTCCTATCGCACGATAGTTGACTCAGGCTATGCCCTCGTCAACTATCACGCGATAGAAATCTTGAGCTCATAATCTAATTGTTAATTAATCATTTTGCCTTGAAGAGAGCAGAGAGCCTCCTACTGTTGTAAGGCAGTTGTTTGCTGATGGAACTTTTGGTGTCATGACCCGCCAAGGTACTTCTGGTATGTGGTGCCAAAAAAGTAAAAAATAAAGTTCAAAACCATTCATTCACAAATAACTATCAGTACGCACACGTAACATCAAGTTACTTATCTCCCAGAAATATCACTGTCTGTATTGCACCCAGTTAGTACAGTTTTATATTTTTAAAAATTTATATTCAATGTCAATGTTATGTAGCTCTCCAACTTTCAAATCATGATAACTAGCTGATTGACGCCAATACTCGCTTCTGAGGAAAAATACAATTTGTCTTTCTCACAAGCCAGGCCTCATAAAAACCTGGTTTTTTCTTTAATATGTACACATGCTAATAATGCATGAAATTCTGCACACAATCGATGCATAATGTAGTTCGGATACCCTGCATTAGGGACCGTTTCTTTTTTTATGGGGTAGGGGGGGCTGGTGGGATTTGGAGGAGTGTAATTTGAAAATTGTATGACCCCCCCAATTTCCGATTTTTTTTCGCATGGCCCCCCCCCTCATCAGAGTAATTTTTTGGAAGGCCCCCCCCCCCCCATTGAAAAAAAAAATACATAAGGTCTTAAAAAAGTTACTGCATTAAAATTTCTTTTTGTTACATTTCACGTAATTTAGTGAAA